TCATGTTTGAAAATATCACTCATCAGCTATGTGGCTTTGGGAAAGTGACTTACTACCTCTTAGGCTTTGTTTTCTAATTTGTAAAAATGGATTGGTAACACCTACTCCAGGACTTCCGTGAGAACTCAATGAGATGATGTGCGTAAAGTGTTCAGCCCAGTGATTTTCACGTAGTAAACTCTGAAACGTCAACGGTTGCTATTATCATGATCTTTTAAACAATAGTTCATAGTTTAGACTTTTCATTAATTCAGACTTGTCTTATTCAGTTCACCTAATTAATGAATTTCATTCTGAATATAATCTCCATTCTAGATGAAGATTTTAAGTACGTAAGACAGTTATACGGAAGCAAGGCTAAATACCTAGGATGAAAAAGGAAAAAGTAATATTTTAGAAGTAGAAACACAAGGTCTCAAGTTAGGTTTAAATGACTGAATAGTCACTTTTGTGCATAATCTTTGTGTTCTTTATGCAAGGTCTTTATATTAGCCAGAAAGAAACAGAACTTACTATGTGTGTAGTAGGAAGTGTGGACTGGTGATCGGCTCACATCATTCATTGGAGAGAGAAGCAGTAAGCCCATGTTCAACTTTATTTCTATCTTCTTGCTTTCTGCTTATGTTTCATAGGCTGTATGGGTGAGAAATGTAAGCACTGTAATGTCCTGCATGGAGACTATAATCTGTTCTCCCCTTAATGACTGGCCTACACAGTTTGTCAAAATCTATCACCTCAACAGATCAGACTGAATTACTTTGACGACTGGCAAATGGTACCTCTTGTGGTGAAATGCAAGCAGCCAGGTGTGTGTGTATTAAGTGCTCTTCAATAGGAGAAATGTACTTTACTGAAAACTCTCATCCATGCTATTTTTGTAGAAGCAAGAAATGTCCATATTCCTTGGGGAAAATCTAAGAATTATTTTTTGGAGATTCTGAACTATTACAGTATAAATTCACAATTATAAGTGACTTATAAAAATCAGTTTTTTTTGTGCATAATATGCATGTACAGTGAAACCTTGTAATAAACCTGGAGGGGACAGAACCAGTAATACTGTTGGGGCTATATGCCTTTGCCTTTCCAGGGCTGTCCCAATTTAAGCAGGTAATTTTAAAAAATAAAGTCATTTCATTAAGTTGACAACCAATGGTTTAACATGTGAAATTTTTCATAATAATAAATTTACAAGTCAGGACAAAACCCTTTTGTCAGACCGTGTTTCCTAAGTTTGGGTCAGAAAGTGTGATTACTCTAATTCACTCCATGCTGATTAGTTGTATTATTTCAGGTCTTCATTGGGAGTACCCAGTGCTTAGTTGTTGAAGTATGGCATTACTCGTCTAGATTTGGCATAACAATAGGAGCAGCAGCAATAACTAAATTTTATTGAATGCTTGCAATGTGCAGACACTGTGCTAGTAGCTGGGGATGTAATGGGAAGCAAAAAAAAAAAAGACACAGCCTCATGTTGTTAACAACAACCTATGTAGTAGGTATAGATATAGAAACAAGTTCACAGAGTGTAAATAATTTGTTCATAGGTGGCTAGCTAGTGGCAAAGCTAGAATTATAGTACTGTATTTGTTATAGCAGCCTAACCTATATTCTGGTTAAGAGACTCCAAAATATAGCGGTTTGAACAAGCTAGAAGGAGCTTCTTGATACAGTGGAGGTGCCATATCAGCTTTAGACTGTTTATGCTCAGACATTGGGCAAGGGAGAAACAAACTTCTATCTTACTTCTCTGCTATCCCTGGGTGTTGGCCTCATTCATATGTCTGAAGATTCATAAGCTTTCTCTTTAAAGGCATTCCCTAGATGTTGTACCCCTAACTTCTACTCACATCCTACTAGCCATACCTAACTGCCAAGCGGGCCTGAAAATAGTCTTTATGGTCATGTATCTCTCAAGTTCAGGGGTTCTATTAATAAAGTGAAAAGAAGGGAACAGGTATTAGGGGACAATTGGCAGTCTCTGTATCATATGCTAATTAAGAACATTGTTTCAACGTGGAGTTTTGGCCACAGACTTGGACAAGTGACAGATGATCTCATGACTTTGGAATATGCCTACATTCATTTTCCATTTCTTTCCAAGTAGTATATCGAAGTTATGTATACAGCATGAGTATGATATATTTAAATATTCAAAATGTGTGAGATATCATGAATATTACATGGTTTGACAGTGGACTTTATCATCTGTAAGTGCTAATTCAACATTTCACAATGGAAGAAGCCCCATGGCTTTAATCTTTGGTAGAAATTCTCAAAAATCCCCAGGATTTGTCTTGCTTGTATCTAATTAAGCCTGCCCTAGGCCTTATCTGGGTGTATTGAGGGGGTGGTGGTTGGGGAGCATGTCTGAAGTAGGAGGCAGTTCCAGACCTGTTTTGCCTCACTGGCCACATGGAAGTAGAGAGAAGCAATCTAAAGAGAGTGAAAACCCCAAGAGACAAACTCTAAAGAAACCACAGAAGCCTACAGATCAAAACTTTAACTTTTCCTCTCAATCCACCAAAAGTTCCACCTCCTTTTAAGAGGTTTAGTTGAGTCCAGTAACTTGGCGGTTCTCCGTGGTGGTGGGGCTGAGGAGTGGAGTAAGGATAAGGAGAAGATGGAAGTGGCGCTTTATCCTCCTGCTAGAGGTCACCATCAAGTACTTCGGAGGCACCATAACAAGTTCAGGACATGGCCTTCATCTCAGTTCTCACAGACTGATGGTCTATCTGGGAAGTTAATGTATGTGAAACATTTAGTGCAAACCAAGCACTTAAGCTATGTGATATTGATTATCCCAGGGGAATCCAGATAAGGGATAGGTCAATGTGGATTTGTGTCTTGGGGAAGGCTTAGATCGTGTCACGAGTGAGAGGCTAAAGGATGAAAGGAGCTAATTAAGAAAGAATAAAAGTGGAGGTGAGCGAAGATTCAGAATGAGCTTATAGGTCAGTAGACCTGTATGCCTGAAGCAGAGACTTCATGTTGGAGACCAGAAAATGAAGTGGAATAAGGAAGTGGAATACTTCAAAAATCAGGCAGGGATTAGGCTATAGATGGTGTGTGAAGTTTTTCTTTTCCTATTTTTAATCTTAAAAAACCCTCATTTTTTTTTTAATGGAATGAAGTGAGGATAAATTAGTACATGACTGACTAATTGAATTAATGAATGAATAAATGAAAGATAGATATCTAGGCTGGGAAAATGGGGTTCTTATGCAAAACCTCAGCAACATAGATTGTCAGGAAACAGGAGGAATTCAAGACTAGGTATTTCAGGGTCTGGGAGCCTGCAGTCCAGTCCTCAGAGTCCCAGAGGATGTCATGATCTTGGGAATGGTTCAGGGAAGGTGTTGGATCTGAGGAGATCCAGTTCAGCAACTGGAATTTACATAGAAGGTGAGAGTCAGAGTCAGGAATGGTGGTGGCGTGGCGCTGGGCAGTCTAATCTCAGCTGGACCCCAGCTAGCAGCTGGAGTCCTGGAATAGAATCTGAGCAGAGGCTGTCCTTGTCAAGCAGGTTTGGGTTTGGGGCAGGGCACAAAACACTGTCAGAAATGGGGAAGTTACTCAGTGCAGAAGCCAGTTCTGAAGACTGGGCCAGTGTGTCTGGGGTTCGTAGGGAAACACAGGGAGAAATGATGATGAAGCAGTTTAGAGTAAACTCAGTGCAGTTCAATGCATTTATGGCCAAAAAGGAATTTCAGTCCCACTGTCTAGTGGGCTGGGGTTGCTTCCCTTTTGCCTGCCTGATGATGGGCTGAAGGTCACAGCTACGCAGAGCCTCTTAACTGGAGATTTCAGGGGCCTCAGCTCAGAGGGATCTTGGAAAGAATGGGTGAGGTGGAGGTCCACCCGTGGAAGGAGCATCACCTGGAAGGCATTGAGACTACGGTAGAGGAGACCTAGGCGCAGCTAGGAGGCCAGAGGCTGTCATAGTCCAGGCTGAGGAGAACAGGGCCTGACAAAGGAGAAGTTTTAGTAGCAGTTCAGAAGAAAAAGGGACTGCAAGAGACATTTCGAATTGAGAAGTAATAGGCTTCAGTGACAAGTTTGATATAATGGACAGAGAAGGAAGAACCTACAATGATTCTCGTGTAGTATGACATTTTTGCTCATGAGCTGAAGAGTGTTTTAAACATACATGCAATCACTTTTGGCCAATTAAATAAATAAATAAATAAATAAAATAAATCAGTTGATAAATTGTGTTAAGGCCAAACTTACTTGAGTGTTTTTTGACTTTATATCCCACGGTAGTGGGACAGCTTAAAGGGACAATAGCTCTTGAGCGTGTGGATGAGTAACGGTGTTTCTTGCAAAGATGTCTGCCTTTCCTGGTCTAAGATAGTGTTACTAATATCCATGCGCATGTGTGTGACTGAAAAGCCTACGGTGGGACCTGCCTGGATCCTTCTGTGCTGCTCTCATGGGGCCTTTGCCGTGGAGCTGATGTTTGATGTGTTCACGCATTCTTCTTTTACCCAAACAGTTAGTTCAGAGCCTTTGCTGAAGAAAGTGTGCTCCAGCCTGGCCAAATTGCTTCTCAACAGGCTTCTTTATCTGTAGCTGTTGTTTTCCAGCCAAACACTTTGGTGCTGCCTGTTGGGACACAGGCAGAAATTGTGCTGTTCACGAAGGGGTGGGGCTCAGAACCTCAGGAGATCTTTTATTCCTATTTACCAAGGCAAAGAAACACACACAGAATCCCCACCTGGGTAGGGAAACTCTGTTTTCAAAATGCACAGATATGTGGTATTTCTGATTTTATTAGGCTTGGATCTGCACCTGGGGATGGCATGGATTTCAAAGTCATTATTTAAGGTAAGGAAAGAAAACTTTAAACAACATTATCACCATAAAAGATCCTGGTTTTGTTTTTGAAATGTTGAACTAAATAAGTTTAGTGATTAGTAAAAGACCAACCATTGTACTTCTGAGAAGTTGTTCTTAGAAAGGTTTAGATTAACAATTTGTTTCCATTTTGTTCACAGACGTACTCTCTGTAGGATGGGGGTTGACCGAATACCTGCCTCACTGAATACCTGCTTCAAATCACCTTTCACGTTTTCTTGTTGGAAAGACAACCATTGGAGAATCATCTTGTCACCATCAGCAAAAATGGAAACAAATCAAGATATTAAGGATGCCACAGTGGCCAGCAGTTAATGATGCCAGTGTTATGCAAGCTTTGGCAAAGGAATTTTTTAAGACCTAGTACCTGACTAGCCAGAAATCTGGAAAGGTTGAATCTATCTTTGTTGTCTCAGCTGTTTCTGAAATCAGCGCAATGCCTCTGAATTAAAGTGAATTGAAACATGCATTGACTTTTCAATTTAATTGAGTATTTACTATGTGTGAATCACTGCACAAAATAGGGGAGGGAAAATGAGGGAGACAAATAAGATGTGGTCCCTGCCTTCAGTGGATTTACAATTAGTTTCAGAGCACATTTTTTTTTTTTTTTTGGTCTTCTGCTCTTAAGTGTGTCCCTAAGCTGGGAAATGAATGGAAAAGTATATTCTGTATTTTAAGTTTCTTTAATACAAAACAAAACAAAATAAAACAAAACTCCTGATGTGGGTAACTCAGAACATCTTAATTCCATTTTCTGGACTTCTGATAATTAGGATCCATTTTATTGATTCCACATACATTCAGTAGGCTTTAGAGATATTACATATTCCAGTTGGAGTAAATTTGAATAAATTCTTTTTTCCCTCTTAGGTGTAGCTTGTATGTTGGAAAAATACATTGTGTTTGTACATTTCTTTGGGAGTGGGGAGGTGAATTCACATTTTGTTTCCTTAGGCTTCTGCCTTCCATGCCCAAGCGGCCTGTCATTCTCAATGAGTTATTAGCATAGAGAAGGGGAAGGTTTGGATCAGCTTGTGGGTGTTGCTGATGGACCCAAGAAAGTTCAAGGAAGGAGCAAAACAGACCTGAGCGATGGCTGCGTATGAAAACCTGGCTAACTATTTTAGTATTCATTGTTGTCCTCTGTGTTCCACAAGTTGAATGACTATACAGTTTTTCCAAAAAATTATTTCTGATCTGGAAATAATTAATGATTATTAATTAATAATTTTAATTAATTAATAAATAATAATTAATGATTAATAATTAATGATTTTTCCAGTGTTAAGACACTAACATGACTGTGGACATTAGTCATTTCATGTAGTGTCTTTGACACATTTTAGTATGTATGAGCCAACAATAGACATGTCTTTGTCTTGAGTAGTGTCCATCTGAACTGACAGTGTGCCAACTGTTTTTTCGAGACATCATCAACAGACTTCTTAATTAAGCTGCCAGTATATACTGCCAATAGCACTGTGTGCTGTTTGAGAAATGAACTGTGTAAGTGCCGTTTCCCTCGTATTGAATAAACAGTATTGTTCCATATAAAATAGATTTAAAGTATTCTTTGAGTGGGGCATTATGTTGCTCCCTGAAGAATTTGAGGAGCATTCTCAAATCATTCCTTTTTTAAAATTTTTATTTTTTTAAAGTTGAAGTATAGGCAGTTTATAGTGTTCTGGTGTACAGCATAATGTTTCAGTCATACTATACATAATTCCTTTTCATATTCTTTTTCACTATAGGTTACTACAAGAGATTGAATATAGTTCCCTGTGCCCTACAGTAGAAACTTGTTTATCTATCCTACATATAGTAGTTAGCATCTGCAAATCTTGAACTCCCAATTTATTCTTTCCCACCCCTTTTCCTCTCCTGATAACCGTAAGTTTGTTTTCTATGTCTGTGACTCTGTTTCTGTTTTGCAAGTTAAGTTCATTTGTGTCTTTTATTTTTTTTTGATTCCACATATGAGTGATATCTTTCTCTTTCTGGCTTACTTCACTTAGAATGACCCATCTATCTCCAGGTTCATCCATATTGCTGCAAATGGCATTATTTTATTCTTGTCTATGGATGAGTAATTTTTTTTGTATATATATACACCACAATTTCTTTATCCAGTCATCTGTCGTTGGAAATTTAGGTGGTTTCCATGTCTTGGCTCTTGTAAATAGTGCTGCTGTGAACACGGGTGCATGTATCATTTTGAATTAGAGTTCCTTCCAGGCATATGCCCAGGAGTAGGATTGCTGGATCATATGGAAACTCTATTTTTAATTTTTTAAGTCTTCTCCATACTATTTTCAATAATAGCTGCACCAAACTGCATTCCCACCAGCAGTGTAGGAGGGCTCCCTTTTCTCCACAGCCTCTCCAGCATTTATCATTTGTGGACTTTTGAATGATGACCATTCTGACTGGTGTGAAGTGACACCTCATTGTAGTTTTGATTTGCATTTCTCTGATAATTAGCAATATTGAGCATTTTTTCATATGCCTCTTGGCCATTTGTATGCCTTCATTGGAGAATTGCTTGTTTAGTTCTTCTGCCCATTTTTAGATTGGGTTGTTTGTTTTTTTGTTATTAAATTATATGAGCTGTTTGTATATTCTGGAAATTAAGCCATTATCAGTCGCATCATTTGTGAATATCAAATCATTTCTTTTTATTTAATTTCTAAAAATTTTATTTTGCTTCTCAGTAAGAAATAGCTCTAATTTGACCAATGACCTATTTATATGATTCATCCTTAATAGGATGAATTGCGTCAACCCCAAAGTCCTGATGGTGTTATTGGTTATTTGTTATGTCACTTTCAGTTTGTATGAAGTAGCTTCCAGGAAGTCTGACTTAGGAACCTGTATTGTATTAAATTGTAGGTATTTATTTACTCTTCTGGGAAATTTTTTGGAGGGACCCCCTCTATATTCCTTGTACCTAGTACAGTGCCTGATGCATAGTAGGTATGTATTCAGTAAACATTTGATGATCAAGGCTTGTAAAAGTAGCTTTTTTCATCTGTGGTTCGTAAGGCTCTGTAAAGGACAGACGGGTCTTGTTAACAGAGTAGCACCTCTATTGGTTAGAGGTTTACAGTTAATCTGTCTAGAAGAAGTCCAGATCAACTGGGTATTTCATATATAATCTAGTCCCCTTGGCCTCTTAATTGGTGTCTTGAATTCAGCGGTTCAGCCCTGTCATTTGTACCAGCGTCCATTCTGCTTCTGCGCCTCCCCCTACTCTGCACAGGGACGGGGCTTTGGCTGGGCTGCCCCGCTTCTCCTCTGGCTTGTCCATCAGTAGAAGAGCAATCACTCTATTCACTGGGTACTCATGATGTGCCAGGCGCTGAGCTCAGTGCTTTACACATATCCTCTCACTTAATTATCTCATTTAAACCACACAACAACCATTTGAAGTGGGTATTATCCACTGCAGAGACATGTATCTTGCTTAAGTCATGGGGATCTAAATCCAGATCTCTTAGATTTCAGAGCCTAAACTATTAACCCCTACCCTCTGCTGTATCCCAGGAGAAATTCTTACTGCCCGAGGGTGGGGGAGCAGGTCAAATCTGGACATAGTCCAGATTAATTGCATTTAGTATTCCTGAACAGCAAACTGTCTAACAGATAAAATCCAGCAAATCACCGTTGTTTTGAGAATGGGGGAGGGAAGAGCAACTGGGAGAAAGCAAAGTTGAAAACAGACCAATTTGAGTCAAACCTTTAGCCTTTACCTCATAATTTTTTTTTTAACTTTCTTTTTTTAACATGGCCTAACATCATATGATAAATCAAAGCCTGATGTAACCGACCCAGAATTGATCCCCAAATGTGTTTTGGGGGAACATGCTTTAAGTCTGGTTGTTGATTCTGAGGAATAATTGCCACCCTAGGAAGGTAATTACATATGCCATTGTTTATACACATAATAGGCTCAGAATGCATGTTCTGCACAGAGGGGAAGAGACTCCTGCTTGCACATTAGGGGTGTGTGCTCTGCATTGTGTCAGAATGCCACAAATAGCATTTGAACTGTTCCCTGTTACTGCTGATTATCCCCCATGTGTGTATGTGCATGTGTGTGCATGTGTGTGTGTAAGGGAGAGGTGGGGACCAAGGAAGGGAATGAGCCATGGAAGGCTATTTGTTGAGCTGAAATGGCAGGGATTTGCTTTTCCTTAATTTTTTAGTTTACCAGAACATTTTCTGGATCTGATTCATTTAGCTCGGGCTGCTAAAAAGACTGTTTTCTTCCTGCTTGGCATATGCTTATTAATGAGTTCTCATATTTCTTTCCATCCAGGGCTGTTTACTTTGTGGAAGTAAAAAGTGAGAATCCTTCTCCACAACATCCTCCTAAATGCTCTGGTTTTGACCACCCCTTTAAGTACTCCAGTCAGCTGAGAGAGCAGCCAGTGCCTTTCCTCTCTCCGTGCTTTCTGGTAAAACAGAAATGGGGTTTAAACCACAAATGATCAATTAAAGCACTTCATGCCTTTTCTTTTAGCCCTAAGACAGTAGTTAGCCTAAGTAAATACAACAAACAGGCTATTTTGTGGTCGTCTAACTCTAGAAACATATTTTTTTTTAAAATCGAAGTCTTAAAAAAAAGTCATGACATTTTGTAGAGCTGCACAATGAAAGAAATACATATGTATTCCAATCTGGAACTGGGCATTGTTTGAGGCCGAAGCAATTCATCCTGGGCTATTCTCTGCCGCAGTGTCCAGCAAATTGCATGACCTGCTTGTTAGGCTTGACAACAGTGTTTTACCTAACAAAGGCGTCTGCAGCTCCGAGCAGCAGTGGAATGTCGGAATGAGCACATTTCACACACAGATGTGCAGCTATAATGGCCTATAAGGAGATGCATGTGGCAGGGAGCAAAGGGTGGGGGTGGGTGGTTGGAGAGCGTGGTGTGTGAGTATGTAGGTTGGGGCCAGCGGGAGGGGGAGGCCAACAGTTAGCAGTAGGGACGTGGCCCCACTGACCACATTTAATCAGCCCTCTGTAAACAATTCAACATTTTCATTGTTCTCTAAAAACTAATAAAGAGAAACAAGCACTTTTCATTCATCTTGAAGTAATTTTCTGTCAGGTTGGAGCCCCTCGTGGCCTCCAGCTTGTGCAATGCTAGCTGTGTGATACAACAACTATTGCAATTTATTTTACAAACTCTGGTCATTCACATGTCAGTTAGTGTTCACCAAGCCGGCATCTGAAATTGTGCAGTTAACGAGTTTTACAACATTTCTATCAAGAGAAACTGTTTAGCATAACTGACTCTTAAGGAGTTATTATACCTCTAAAAATCCATTTTAAGGGGCATTATTTAAATAAAATAGAAAAACGGTTCACTGCCTTTTAAAGGGGCTACAAAAAAAGTCCATCAGCTCCAGTGCAGTAATCCTCAGCTTAAAGCACTCTTGAGAGCACTTCTGGGAATTG